AATTTACATTTTTCTTCAATTTTCATTCATTTTTAATACCATTTTTCACTTCATTCACTTAGAAAATCTAATTAGAAAGTATTATTTTTAAACATTTAAATTACCTAAAAAAACAATTTATTCAGGTCAGTATCAACTCACCTACAGTATAGGTTAATGGACTGACACATATCAGAAAACAACTACTCCCTTGGCTAATACCACGAATGGCGTTGAATTATTGTTGTTCGTCGTTCGCTTCAGCCTTGTTCTAGGAATGATACTCTGAAAGAAATTCGATTTTCAATTATGGGAAATTATCGATTCTTCTGTAAAGAATCCTGTCGGATATAATCCAACGCCCTTCGTGGGGAGTAATTGTTTTATGGTAGGTGTCATCCTACAGTGTAGGTGAGTTGAGACCAGCCTCAACGAATTGTTCTTTTATATAATTTGATTTACAGCCAGTCTTTATTTTTTTACTCTCACAGAGAATTAACCGCATAGTACTTTAACATTGTTTTGTGATACAAGAGGTCAACTTAAAGTCTGAAAAATAGCATTTTCTATATCAAGATTTTCGAGAGGAATGAATTGAAAAATAATCAAAATCACGTGAAGTGGTAAGAAGTTAACAATTCCTGAATTTTTATCAGAAAACTGAGCAAACGCCGTCTTTTGTTTCTATCAACATCAAGTTATTTGACAATATATTTATAGATAACGTCTTAGTGTTGCCATATTGGATTTGAAGAAAATGGCTGCTACGGCGCCAATTGAAGAGAAAATGATCACTTGTGTCACATCGTTGAAAATTTTTAATTCGAGTTCATTTCCGATTGAAACTAAATAGATGTTCAATTGTTTTTTCATTGAAAGTATTAGCACCAGGAACTATACGTTCGTTTATAATTTTAAATTTTGAAGTGATAAATTCTTACGGGAGGTAAACCGCTTGGTAACGTAACGCATAATGGTGCAAGTATGTCTGGCTTACCTTTCTCGTCACTCTAACACATAGCGTTAGCCGTATCTCGAACAAACGATTCTCTCGCCTCTCTTCGCATGACTCAGTGTTCAGTGTGATGTCGACATATGCTGTTGACAAGCAGAAGATGATCCTCGGAGCATTACAGAATCTCCTAACGAATTCGAACTCGGATAGAGAAAGAAATTCCAAAGATATTTCCAAATCGGCAATGAAGTAGTAGCCTCTATATATCAAGTTGATAGGACTAGTTGACTAGATAATCCTGAGGATTGATTCCTAGAAAAAAAAAGAATTGGTTCCCTCCTTCGCGAGATATCAGGTTTCTCGTTCATTTCAATTCCTTTTGACCTGGTTTTGTAGTCCCGAGTCAATTTGAATTCATAAGAAAGTAATTCAATGTTATTATTGCTGCTTCCTATTTTAATTAAAGGAGATTGGAGAGCTTTGTTCAGTCAATACCACGCCAAACATGTCACCCATATTGGAACCATCATTATACCATACCAAGGTTTGTTCCGATCTAGATGCGTCCCTACTCCCAAGCTCCAAACTTTTGAAAGGATACATTGAATCTCGAAATCAATCCTAGTTCTTACGGATTCTTTTTTTCTGGCCTTGGATAAGAGACCCCTTCAGTTCAGAAAGCATGCCCCGTCCACGCAGTGGTGTATATAAAATCTTGTTTCGAGGCATCTTGTTTTGGTGAATGTCAAAAAGCATTTTCTCTATTTATAATTCAATAAATTGAACTGCATTTTTTATATTGACTGCATAAATAGATTATTTTGTCAACACCCAGAAAAATTAATTTTGAATAGTTCTTTCTCTAACGTAACCACCAAGAGAAATAGGATTTTATGAACGTATAAGTACTAACATTGCCAATGAACAAGATAATGCCGCCAATTTTGATGTTAAATTGAAATTGTAAATAATCACGTCAACTTCGATCCTCAGATTGTTGCCTATAAGCCAGTCCTCTCCTGTTCTTGGATAAAATTACTGTTAATCAGTTGAACAAATAACTATAAATAATATGTATTGTTCAAACGCAAGGAGTAAAAACTACCTGTGTGCCAAAGTGATTTTCGTGTTACTGTTACTGTTCATGTTACTGTTTCAACAATGCTTCTGTAACATTCAAATGCGTCATACAACAAGTGTATACATATGATGTAGACAACCAAACTCGAAAGGAATTACTAGAAATGTTTTGTTTTATTTTATATATTTATAAAATGACTATACCTTAAAGTAAACTTAAATGATGTTACTCAACATTTTTCGAAAGAAAATCATATTAACATTTCCTGCTACTGACAAAATCAAATCTGGTGAATTTTCCAAATTATGGAAATATGAAAAAAATTGAAAATTATTGGGAAAAAGCTTTACAAGAACAGAATTGTGTCTTCCATCTTTAAAAGTCATCTATAAATGTGCTGATGAAAAGTTGAAGACAAGTGTTTTCGGCCTGAAAGTTCTACAGGTACACCTAAAGGGACGATTGTTTTACATGAAAGCGAAATTGTACTCGTATACTAATACTTCTTCATTTATTACGTTGTGTAGCGAACCTGTTAATGATATCAATGTTTTAACAAACGTTTGAAGGACAAACAAAATAGAAAAAAAATATTTAAATGTGATTAAATGTTTGAAAGTAGTTGTTTCGAATGATTTTTCCGTATTATTTCTGAAAGAAACTTTCGTGCATAATCTACACATTTTTGTAAAGAGTTTTATTTTGGAGTTGATCACTTTCTTCCTAAATTGGTATACAGATGGAGAAGTAGAAATCTAGAATGTTTTTTCCCAAAAACTAATTTCTACTTAAATACATTATCTTTTTTAATAATCTAAGAATCTCTTTCTATCTCTCTCTCTCCGTCTTCTTTTGATATGGGATTTACGTCTGGTAATTGCGGAGAACAGTCCAAAACAGCCACTTCTTGGTGTTCCAAAGTATTCCTAGAGTGGAGAGAGTCATTATGAGACATAATTACACATTTTTCTCCAAATAGGTACATCTCTCCGGAACGTATCTGAGAGTTCTAGCACTAATTGAAGTTGGTTGTACGGTAAGCAAAGGTGTTTCCGATTCCAGTACATTGCCGTTCCTTCTGAAGTTTATGTTCTCTCCTAGCCACTTTTGATACATAAATCGGTCTGTTGTAAATACTTTGCATAGGTTTACGAAACAACACTTTGTGCCATATACAGGGTGAGCCATCAAAAACGTATCACAAGACGTAATTGCCTTGGAGTAAGGGGTACAAGTTTCAATCCAACAACAATTGCAAAATCTTCGACCCTCTAAGTAGGGGTGTTATAACCCAATTTCTAAATGATAGTGTGGTTTTAATAACTCATTGATGAGGGTTTTCGATTCCCTATCCACTGTTAAATCGATTCACTTGTTGAGAAAATAAAAAGCTTTGAAACAATACGTTTATCGGGAACTGCAACAAAGAAAAATTAATAATCCCAAAACTCACCGTATTTTTTGATTAAATGTTGTAAATGTTCTCCACTAACTTTCACACAATATTAGAGTTCTTCATCAATCAGTTCTTGTACATTTTGAAACATTCATCAGTGATTTGTCCTCGCAGGTCTTCCAATGAGCCAAATGGAGTGCCAGTTACATAATTTTAGAAGTGTTCCTACAAAAAATTCAAGGCTCCAATCGGGTAACCGAGGAGGCTACTTAACCTGCTATGAAAATAACATCACATATTTGCAGGGATCGTACGTAGCACCGCATCAGTTCAGCGAAATTAGTCGTTCGTCGAGACCCGGCTTACATTATTCATGCTCATTTGGCAACTGGCAACTCGATTATTTCAGATCATTTCGCTTTTGAGCGTGTTATCAGTGAAAATTCCTATTACGTTGACCAAGCAGCTAATAAAAGTTAAAGCATTGGTAGACCGGGACAGAAATTTTCACCCCATTTTTTAACGTCTGCCTTTTTCAGGGGGCATTTTTACAGCCACAAGCAACAGTATTATGCGTTAAACGAATTTTATGCCCATGTAACTCATGCTTGAACATTTACTCTAGTTTGCAAAAAAAATAAATGGTTACCTAAATTCAATTTTTTAACGTCTGCCAAGCACAGCGTAGACTAACAGTAGCATGAAATGAACGAATTTTCACAAGGCAGACGGTTTGCCGGTGTATTAATAATTTATAGGCATTAGTTAATTAACAAATTTTTTACAGTGTCTCTGAGCCATTTTTTACCGTCTGCCTCTTGAATGTAATGAAGTCTACGCTGTGCTTGGCAGACGGTAAAAAATTAACTTTAGTTAACCATTTTTGTGTTAAATAAAAAATTCATGCTTTAGCCAGGACACCATGTAACCGTCTGCCAATTATTTTTTGTGGGTTACGTAACCCCCAGTTGCATGAATGACAGACGGTAAAATGTTGGTCAAAGAAGCTTTTTTAACTATAGTTAATGTTTAAGCATTTGTAACATGGGCAAAAAATTCGTTTAACGAATAATACTGTTGCTTGTGGCTGTAAATATGTCTTCTAACAAAAGCAGACGGTAAAAAATGGGGTCAAAATTTCTGTCGCGGGCTCCCGGTCTATGGTAATTCATTCCTGTAATTGTTGCAACGATCTTATATTCGCATTTTTCGGGAAAATAAAAAAATGTTCATTTTATGATGAATACGTTCATTATCCAACCACATTAGGCTATCGTCAAAGAATATCGGAACTACTGCAGTAGTTGTGCTATCGTATTAACAACATAAACTTTATGTTGTAAAGTAAACTGAAATATGTGAAGTTGAAATTGGGTTTTAGTGATTTTATTTTTGTCGTATTGGTCTATTGGTCAAAATGTTTTTGTATGGCTAGTGTCTAGACCGTCGTTGACGGATTTTTAAAACGATTAAAACCATAATTTGCAATTCCATATAGCAATAAACTCTAAGTATATATAAAAATGAAATACAAATTTATTTTTCCATATTATCAAATATCTCAATACTTCGTGATTTGTTTATAAAAATCTACAATAGTTCCGAAGGTCGGAATATTAGACAGTTACAGTTTTGTTAAAGGATAGCTGAATTCCGCTGAATCAGTTATTAGATCATTACTTGTTAGAACAATAAAATTTCACGTTTTTTGTTTTTCTTTTCACAAATACTGAGCCATATCATAATCCACCAATAATGATGATAGTAAGTAAAAACTGTTGATTGAGCCGATTATCAATTTGTATTGTTTGCAGCCGGCAAAACAACCACTGCTTACCTGTTAACATGTGTTTTCAAAATATTTTGATAAGAGAAACTGATAACTTCAATTATTCAATACGTCGACATAAATAATTGATCTGGTGGGTGGAAATTTTCGAAAGGAACTAGCACGGTGTTGAACATTTGGTGAATAATAATGTTAACCACCGAAGACTATGGTTTGGAAGAATATGTTTTCAAAAGTTCTCCAGAATCGTGTAGTGACCAATCGTGTTCTACAGGTAATTGAAATGAACATACTGTTCTATCTGGTTTTGACTGAATTCACTATTTTTCAGAGTTTACAGATTTTATCTCTGACGAAGATTTTCTGACACAACTCGCTGTTGAACTGAATATACCCTTGTTGCTAAATCAAGGTGAAGATGAACTCAGTATGTTGAATTCAGTTTATGATAAAAGTCCAAATGAAATATTATCAGACATAGCGTCACCACCATACTGTAAAGACGAAGAACTTTCTAACGAAATTGCTGATTTGCAATTCATGGACTTTTCAAACTGCGGCCCTGAGGCATACCCTAACCTTCAACCAGAAATTAAATCCGAATTATCTGATAGTTCACCATCTAGAAATTCAGCAACATCTGTGTCACCCATATCCCAGTTACACAGTTCTGATATAAAAGATGAAATACAAATGAAAACTCCACCGGCCTCTCCTGAATCTTTTTTCAATGCAGGAATGCTGAAAGATCCACCAAAGAATATTCTTTTTACTCCTATCAAAAAAGTTACAGGCTCAAATACTACTTCTCCTTGCTTGACAACAAAGCATGTGAAAATTGTACCAAAAACTCCATATTCGTTACCAGTGAAGAAAAATAATTTATTAGTTTTAAAGAAAGATTTGAAACCTGTAGTTGCCTCTCCCCAACAAAATGTTGTTATGCTGGAAAATATCAAAGTTACCGTACCACACATTCCCACAATTGATAACACTATGAAAAGTGTCTGTAATATTAAACAAAATGTAGCTTTATCGTCTGTAACTGTACCAACTATGGCTGTACCTGTATCTTTACCTTCTATTACTATTCCAACAGTAACTGTGCCTTCTGTTATAAATCAAAGAAACAGATTTTCTGTAACAAATATAAATTTTGATCCAAAAGTCCTGAAGAGGCAACAAAGAAAAATAAAGAACAGGGAGTCAGCTAGTTTATCTAGAAAGAAAAAGAAAGATTATGTCACTTCCTTAGAAGATCAAGTGAAAGTATTGTCAGCAGAAAACCAGAGATTGCAAACAGTAAGTTCCCACAATCATAAGAAATGTTAATTCATATATTTTTCTCGCTCCATCTATCATGTTTTACTTGAAATATTTTCAAATCTCCTTAGTTAGAGTGTTCGAAAGTAGCAAGCATATATGGTGAGTTGTGTGTCTAATTCACCGTCCAAAGATTGTGCTTTTAAACCCAAACTTCTACAATATATTTTCCTCAAAAGAATTTTTCAAGTTGAAATTGGGTTGATTCTGCTGTGTCACACAACTGGTAAGACTGCGAATAGCTATGATGTTTATCAGGTGGCTCTAGAAGTTATCAACATAACCCTCTCAGAATATGAGGCTAATGAGTATATCATTCGATGTCATTGACACCAAAAAAAAACAGACACTTTATACAGATAAATTGAATAGAGTTCAATTAGTTCAACAGCCATCGAGAAGAAGAAGAAAAAAAACTGAACTACTTTTATGTGGTATATGTTTGTTATATAATTTAATAATTTACCGCTTCATTCCATCAGAATAAAGTATCTGATGTTAGCTTTTGCTCACCTGAATTCACAATAAACACTAAAAGTCCAAAAGAAAACATTTTACTTTATGAAATTGATACCGAACATTCTGCCTTGATCTACGCTACTCTTTCTATTGGCAATCTCCATAAACAACTCCTCTTCCAACTCCTCTAAATCTAACACTTATATGGTCAAGAAAATATATGTTTTTTTGTTGTTCCCCTTAAAATGTTATGTGAAAAGAAATAGAGAACAAATAGATCAAAATTTCACTTTTTTAAGAAGTCGTTCTTCATGAAAATATTTGCTTGTTGATGCAAAAAAAAATGTATACAGGGTGTCTGAACATTATCTCTATTCAATCAGTTCACTTGATAATGAAGCAACATATACATTATTAATTCAGATTCAAAGAAATACGGTTTTATTTTTTAATAAAAAAACATACACTTTTTGGAAATATTGACGTCAAGTACATAAGATTGATATAGCTCTAATATCGGCATGTTGCGATATTACTGTATTTGTCAAAAATGTGGACTCATCTGGGAACATCAGTTTATGTAAATTGAATTTTGAACTTTTCGGTCGCCCTGCATCAACAATTGAATGTTTTAGCAAGCCAAAATTTCTATAAAGCATGACTTTTTCCTTAAAAAATGTACTTGGTTTGTTTCTTTTCTTGTATAGCACATTGCAGGACTTACTTTATAATAATTACAAAATATTTAAATTATTGAATTTATTCTACAAAAAAGATATTGATGCAGAATTCAGATCATCATTATGGTTCAATGAAACTTATACAAAAGTTCAGAGACAATTACTGTTGTCATATTATTTTCATCACAGATTAGAACAGTTCAGAAAGAAAATAATTTTGCAATAATTATTTTCAAATGCTGTAAGAACAAAAATTATTGAACTATGTCAATAGTCCTTTGTCATTATAGCCTCATTCATTGTAAATACCAATCCCCAACAAGAACAACAATATTTAGAATGCTTCAATGAAACATAATATTTTAAAATCAACATTCAATAAAATTACCACTCCTGAGAAATATAAAATATGTTTGAGCATTCTTCATTTAATTCTACTCTTTCATTCTACATACTTTCTATCATCTGTTATAAATTCTACTTTTTCTTTTATTTTCAGGAAAATTTGCAGTTGAAGGAAAGATTAGCACAGTTTGAAGATGATACTTCTAGTAGAAATACAAACAAATCTGTAAAACCCAGTTTAGTTTTATGTATTTTTCTGTTAGTAGTTGGTCTAAACTTGGATTTTTTGAGGTAAATTAATTGTTATATCAGATTTTAAAATAACTTATTGCCAGAGGTAAAATGTAAATTTTTTATGCTTTTAACAATGCTGGAACTGAGCCAAAAAAAGGGAAAACAAAAAACTGAAAATCTTATCAAACAGTCATCCGCAACATTATTTTTTAGCCCCAGAATCTTTTCCTGGTCTGATATTTCCATCAGTATTTTTTCAAATTAGGAAAAAAACTTATTTGTGATTTTTGTAAAAATTGACAAAAAGTACAGTAGATTGGCTTTGTAAGTTTCAATATTTGTTTGAAAACATTTTTTTTTAAATTAGTACCTAACCTGCTTTTTGTTATGTTTATGAGCAAATTAATATTTTCAATTTCTTCAGCCGTTATTCCTTCACACTAGATAAAAAATATTTATTGAATTGAGCAAGAGCAAAAAATTGAAAAATTTATTTCATGAATAGAAAATTTTTGGAACACAGGTATTTTTTTCACACATGGAAGCAATATTAATTTGTACATCTTAAAGAAAAACTATGTATAAAAACTCTTCATAGAGATGTGTAAATCATGCACAAAACGTTTTTTTGGTTCAATCTGAGAGAAACATATTTGAAATAACTGCATTTGATTGAATTACACAAAAATCACTTTTTTCATTCAGTATGTATTCGCAAACAATCGTTTCAAAACTGAAACAAATATCAATTACAGAATCGCTTCATAAGTAATATGAAAAGAAGTGTTTGATGATTTGCAAACATAATATAAAGTTTTGGGATAAAAAGTGTTGAATATAGAAAATATACATATATCGTAACAATAATAATACCTTCATGAAACAAAAATTAAATTTCAAATAGGTTTTTGTGCTCAAATATAATGATTTTCATCTCTGAATATATTTAATGGTGTTGAATGAATGTTCACTTTCTGACACACTTGATTTAATTTATAACACATTGCAAATAAGGGAGATTTGAATAACATATTGGTTCAGTGTGTTGGTAAGTGAAAACATTGTTCAGTTCTACCACTGATTCTTGGCACATCAAACTCTAGTTGAGGCAATAGTTTTGGTGAGTTGATATAATTGTTAACCAGTTTGTATATGAATACGCAAGAATAATAAGTTCTGTCTTCAAGAGATGGAAAAATGAAAACGCTTCAAAAATATATTATTATCTATTTCCTGTCTGGGGTAGACATGATGTAGTTTGTAGATGACATATTTCATAAACCGTTGTTAGACAGAATCAAGCGATTGAATATGTGTAGTATATATAGGTGACCAGATAAGAGAGCCATATTCTAAATGGGATCTAACAAGTGAGTTGAAGAAATTAATAAAACTTTCCTTGTTTTTGAAATCTTTGCAAGTTCTAAATAGGAGCCCAAACATTCTTTTTGCAGCAGTTAAGAATGAGAGTTTGATATCAAAGAATACTCCTAAGTTTTTACAGCTATCTGTTTTCACCATTAAATTATCATATTGAATAATTGTGGTGAATAGTGGTATGTTTGTTACAATAGGTTGTATATTTATATTTACTTGAATTGAGTGGAAGATTGAAGAACACCAGAGAGTTAATTTATTTAAATCATTTTGTAGTATTTCGTTGTTATTAGCTGACTCTCTGGTACGAAAAACCTTCAGATCATCAGCAAATAATAAAATTTCACTATCTATATTTAATCCTATGTCGTTGATGGACAGGAAGAATAGAAGGGGAGCTAGATCGCTTCCCTGTAGAGCACCACTGGTTGCACTGTATTCATCAGATTTGTGTCCTCTGTATTCAACAAACTGTTACCGATTCGTAGGACAGGAATAAAAGAATTTAAGCAGATTTTATTCGAAATCAATTTCATTGAGTTTTGAAATGAGTATGGTGTGGTTCAACTTGTCGAAGACCTTTGAGAAGTCTGTATGTATTGTGTCTACCCGAAGAGGATTTTATAAAGCACAACTAATCGTTTATGTAAATGTTATTAAATTAGTTATAGTAGATTTTTCGCGATAAAGTATTGATTAAAAAGACAAAAAACCATTTTATTATTAATTAACTTAAGGTCTGGTACCTCTGTGTTTGGAACTACAAAAATCAAGACAATATCTTGTTTTTACGCAAACAGATTTTAGCGTCAATTCGTTTATCATGATAATAAAGTTTACATGAAAAACAGATATGTAGACTACTATATTATTGTTCAGCAAAAACCCTATTCACAATAATCTATTTACCCAACGCTATTCAAATTTCTGTTTGCAACTTGTTCTGATGGCAATAATATTTTTTATAGGAATCCATTCAATCAAAAAAGTCAATTGGTTTTAAAGCAGGAATTACCGAAGTTAAATGACCACCATGGAAGAAGTTTACTGTGGTCACCTGATGAAATGGAGAACCACAATAACGAATCTACAAAGTTTTCCCCATATTCAATGTGTCCGGCTACAATCAATCAAACAGAGAGTGTCCGGTTGGCACTCGAGTTAGAAAGGTTACTTTTACATTACTAGTTTGTTAATAATGCATAAATAAATCATGTCACGCATAAGTATTGTGTCAAAACTAACTGTTATATTGATTTTTTTTTTGTAGATGGATTGGAAAACCAGTGGACCTGTCATCAAGAATTGGCCCTGTAAAAAATGTGTCAACCCCCATTAAACATTCAAAACTGCGTTACAGAAAGAAGAAGTATGGGTCGAATAGTCCTTTCACATCTGTTCCTTACAAACGTTACAGGTAGGAAAGTGGTGCACCATATTTCCATTCTATTCAATAGATCATGTTAGTAGGTCATAATGATTATTAGAATTTTTGTCTGTGTGTTTATGCTTGCTAATCTAAAAAATGACTCGAACAATTTGGGTGTGGTTTTTCCTTATTCATTATGGTGAGCTTCGCTTATTATTCAGTATTTGATTCATTTCAATTGGTTTATAAATAAAAAATCTATGCAATACAAAAATAGGATGGACCCTGTTGAGTATTATAAACTCGCCTATACCTATGTGGCAAATCATAAGGAAATCACAAAATTTTTGGGAAAGAAATCAAATTTATGTCACTTTATCATTATTGTGAATCTTCTTTGAACTCACCTAAAACGTCGATTTCATTATCGCCACCACATTCAGTAACCCGTACATTTTCTTTCGGAGGGTTTTTCAAAAGATCCATAATTTCTTAAAGTATTTTCGATTCGTTGAAAATATTTATGATTAGGTTCTCGTCGTTCAGGATACAATTCCTGATACATTGCCAGAGATTTGGTAGCATTCCTCAAACATCTCGAATATACAAAAAGCATATCCACTTTTTCGTCATTGGAAAAATTCACGTTTCTCCCTTAAAATCACTCAACGATTTGAATAACTTTTATTTTGTGTGTGACAATTAACTTGACATTCACATTCATGTATTTCATGGCTTACTTAAAAAAAGAAATGATCGCTTATTATGTTTCTCGTGAAAATCGTCTATGACTTTTTTAACACAGTATTTTTATCAGTTAATTCTTGTTGATATCCTCATTTTCTGAACAGAAATTTTTGATTATTGTTCAACACTCATAATCAATGAAAATATTACAGCAGATTAAAAAATGAACAGCAGTTGGGAGAACGACCTAAGAATGAATTGCAACTATTTTCCTTGACTCCTGACCAAGTTTATTCAGAGTTCTTCGAAGCAATCAATAGACAGGACGATACTTTTTATGTGGTGTCATTTACTGATCAGAATATGCTCTTACCAGCAATTCACCACAATAAAACGGGTAGGCCCAAAATGTCTCTCATCATGCCTTCTGTGTTACCAAACGGTGAGTATCTAGTTTAAATTCTCTCAGATTTAGAAGTATACAGCCGTAATCTCTGAATATTATTGAATGTATTTGTAAAAATATTTTAGTACACTCACTTGCATGAAAAACAGTCACTTCGAATTGTTGTCAAATCTTGATCTAGAATATTTTTTTTATTTTCAGTCGAATTTGATTTTTTTTTTTTTCGATAAATGGGAGGAAATTTATCCCAGAATAATTCACATCAAACATATTTCCTGATAATGCTCGATTTATTCATATTATACAAGGGAAAACAAATTTATATTTCTATCAAATAGGTTTGAGACATCCTGGTTGGTTCATTCCTTATCCATTCATTTTGATTTTACGAATTGTTTCAAATCTATGAATTTTGAAATAAAGCTTTTTATTTTAATGATTTAAAAATTAAACGAAAACATAAGTAGCGAACAGTTGAAAAAGAAAACGAATAACCAAAATTTCATTATGGCGTGATGCCTCCTCTAGCTTGGACCATAGCTTCCATTCTCCGAGGCATTCCACGAATTAGGGTTCCAATGTACTCCTGGAGTATGTTATGCCACTCTTCTATGAGATCAACACAAAGTTCTCCCAGACATATCGTAATAGTAATACATTCATGGAATATTCAAAAGAATAAAAGTGTTTCATGATTTGCAAACACAATATACACTTTTGGGATGAAAGTGCTGAATACAGAAAATATACATATATCGTAACAATAATACCTTCATGGAATAAAAAACAAATTTCAAATGAATATTTGTTGCTTCGCAAATATAATGTTTTTTATCTCTTTTATGAATATATTCGATGGTGTTGAATTGGAGCCTTATTAGGAAATCAGTTCGATGTAAATTAATTTGGAATAAATCGACTCCCATTTAAAAAATGATATCAAATTTAAAAGTTACTGACGATCAATAGTAAATATTACAATAGTAAATAGTACAATAGTAAATCTTGACAGGTAGACTTAAACTTCTGGGGTAGAATGAATCTAAACTTTTTGAAGATTATTCAATATAATGGAAATTATAATCGGAGTCATTTGATGTGAAATGATATAATCCACAATTGTTGCAGATACCATTCCCCACTCATCTTTGATACCGTTGATGAAAATCGATTGCGAAGTTTTAAATACCAGATTGATCTACATCAAACATGGCACCATTCCACAACATTTGAAGCGATACAGTAATGAAACGGCAAGAAAGGAAAGTCCAGATGAAAAGGTCAGCGATAAGAACAGCCATAGAACTCGTGATTACAAGAAACCGTACAAACCATATTTCATAGACAAATACGCATTAAAAAGTAGTGAGGAAATTTTTGACTTAAATTAGGTTGAAATTCTGCTATATCAAAATTAACATATAATTTATGTGAATTTTAGTTCCTTTGATCTCAGGATGTAGGCAATGTCTACTCAAGAAATCTTCATTCGTATTATTTACAAATACATAGATAGATAGATATCTCATAGAGATGAAGAGAGTAGTGTAATATATAGTATGTTTGAAGGTGGTTGACAATGTTTCGTGGTGTATTTCATCAGTTCAGACTTCCATTGTCTAATATAATATAAATTGATTTGAAATCCCTGAAAAAATCTGTAAAAAATTGAAAATGATTAACCGCAAAATAACAATTTTATTAGACAAAAATCTGAAATTACAAAGAAATAACATACAAGCAACAACAAAAAAATTAAATATTAATACAAGCTGAAAATTGAAAATATTAACAAAAAATTGAAAATTAAAAAAGATTCCAAACTAAGTTACGTCACGACGTTTCGATTGTTAGTATCTACAATCGTCTTCGGGTGATAACTGGACTTATTCCTCCGAGATCTGACTATTTATAGGTCATTCGAGTGCTTTCACCTATCCCCTCTTCCCTCTCTCCGCTTCATTGGTTTTAGCAGGAGATGACCGTTTGGCGGGAGTTGGTCGTTTTCCGCTTGATGAGAGGTTTCCATATGTTACGTATCTCTACGCTAGCTTGGCTAAATGCGTTGTTGGACAACATATAAGCGGCTTCTTTGAATTTTCTCCTTAACCAGTGTTCAGCTTGAGCCCACTTGATGTTATGTTGATGAGTCGAAACATGCTCTGCTATTCCGGATTTGCTGGTTTCTCCTAGCTGTGTGTGTTTCTTGTGCTCAGCAATGCGAACTTTCAAAGGCCTCTTAGTTTCACCGATGTATGATTCTCCGCACTCGCAGGGTATCCGGTAAATGCAATTCTTGGAATCGCAGTTCGCGTTTGGTGGCCTGGTTTTCATGAGGCTGCTACGGATAATGTTTCCAGCTTGTATTAATATTTTACTTTTTTGTTGTTGCTTGTATGTTATTTCTTTGTAATTTTAGTTTTTTGTTTAATAAAATTGTTATTTCTCGGTTAATCTTTTTTAATTTTTCACAGATTGTTTCAGGTATTTCAAACCAATTTATATTATATTAGACAATGGAAGTCCGAACTGATGAAATATAATATATAGTAGTTTTTTTATTAGCACGTGAGTTTAAAAAATTAGTTGCTAAGCAATTGGATAGATAGTAAATTTGATTAATTCAGTGTTGGTTAGTAGTTGAATTTACTTTAACTCATGGTAACTAATGGTAACATATTAGTGTTTGTTGGAGGTAACTAAAGGAGGATATTAACAGCGGTTTTGAGATTGCAAGTCTTAATGAATCAGAGGGAGTTCCATCATTGGTTTTCAATTTGGGAATATTCATGCACACGTCAAATGTTTCAGGGGCGGATCCAGGATTTGGCTGTGGGAGTGCGAAGAGGATTGTATATAGGTAGTGGAGCTGATAAGGCAGGTGGTCCTACAAAACTGTGATCAAAACCCTTGTTAATAAAAAAGCATGGCAGGCAAACATTTTCAACTTCAGGGTCACCTGGTTTTCAATAATTTTTACAAATGATAAGGCAGGTGGTCCTACAAAACTGTGGTTAAAACCCTTGGTAATAAAAAGCATTGTAGGCAAACATTTTCAACTTCAGGGTCACCTGGGTTCCTAAAATTTTTACGAATGATAAGGCAGATGGTCCTACAAAACTGTCAAAACCCTTGTTAGTAAAAAACATGACAAGCAAACATTTTCAACTCCAAGTTCACCTTGTTTTCTAAAATTATCAGGAAATATTAGTTGAATTGAAGTATTTGAATGTGGTTGACAATATTCCTTAGTGAATGTTACAGGATGTTGCAATGGATGTTCGCACCCTTAACATTTAATTTGCAAGTTTTTTTCATTTCATTACAGAATTTCCATTTTTTTCTGATGGTCTCAGGTAACAAATGATTTTTTTTTCACATTTCTTTCTATTAAAAAAGTACAGAATAAATACAGGGCTGATTTATACAAATAAAAAACTATAGACCATTGAAAAGTGCATTCTCTATTTAGGCTTGTACCATCTTTATCAGAAAAATTTCTTATGTTATGAATTGCTTTAAATTTTTCAGGCAGTAATTGAGTGACCTTATATACAAAAAATTCGATCAAAACGTTTGTATTTGTTTTGCCTTTATTCATTACCGTTAGACTTATGTCATGTCAATGATCTGTGGAGATTATTAAAATATATTTCTGTATCAAAATTACGTTAACTGAAAGATTCAAAATTTTAACAATTTTTTGTTGAATCTTAAACTATTCGAAAACGTTGTACAGACATGAATACCTACAATTCGAAATCCTCAGATATGCTTTGACTAATATTTGGGTGTTGATATTTACTATTTATAACTTATAAAAAAACTATAAAAATTGAGAATTTCTGTGTACTTCTTCATTCCTGTTCAGTGTTCTAACATGTGAGGGAATTGTTTTGAACTTATCGAAAGAAAATATGACCCTCCAAGTTGCAATTTTCTAAAAATTTCTGGGACCGCTTTTTTTCCAAAAAAATTCACAAATTCTATCGACTTTTTAGCATGTCAAGTAATTTCAAAAAAGAATTTGTTAAGATTTCATATAATTCACTCCTCATTTTACGACAACAATGTATAACAGAACTTTCAATACCTTCAAATGGAAACACTTTTTATAATCTACTGCTGAGAGAAGAGAGTGCGTCATCGGGAGATGATGTTTTCGCGATAGCACTTCTTGACAAAGATTCCACTACTGGCCACAAGTAATAGAAATGAAATTTTCATCCAACACTGAATTATTTACATTTCTATCAAATGACAAACTGCAATATTTTCAATTGTAATAAGGTGTTTTGGGAACTGATAACTTTTGTTATAATAAAAATAACAGAAAATTTTTTATTTTATTTGGAAAAAATATGGCCTCCTCTTCCTAATGACAACCGAAAAAGATACTTGTTTTATCTATTTGCTGGCTTGATAACAAAAAAAAAACAGGATTTAAGGCTCTTCATAATTCAGTAAATACAGTCACAATATGTTTGAATGTGGTTGACAATGTAGGTGAACATTTTGAATTTAGCGCCAAAATTTTCCTCAGAACTCAGTGATATAAGGCATTTTCTGGAGCTCATGTATTCAAAACGTATTCGTCTGTGATTCAAATACATTCCTTGTGGCTTTGAAACGATGACGTCATGTTAACTATGATTTGTTTGACACATATTCATATGAGGTTCTTCTTCTTCTCTTTTTTATGGTCTTTGCTTCTGTTCGGCGCAGTAGACCATTATTTCGTATGAGGTTGGTTTTGAAATGAAATTTGACGTTACGTTACGTCAGTTTCTGCTTTATTTTAATCGTTATAGTTTATAAAGTGCTGAAAACTTCTCATCGAATAAGTTGTAAGGATGTACAATATAAAGCTGGAAAATTATTACTTGTACAAATCCAATTGTATTTGATATTACAGAAAATTGAAAAGAATTTGTTATCTGACACAAATTGAATCATTCCATTCTGGCGAATTTTATTATTATTGACGTAACTACGAATTGTTTTTGAATACACGCTCGAATACTATTAAACGCCAGAAAACACCTATATATGTTGGCACCTGGAACACAATACTAACTGTTCAAACTAGTCAGTCCTACTGTGAATTCCTTTGATTTAAAGTCAAAATAAACCAGGAATCAAACGTTTCAAGTCAATCTCTTTATTTTTTATATCTTTCAAATTATTGTTAATGTCAAAATCGTCTTTTTTTATAAACAAACCATGATCAATTATTTTAACATACAAAGTGAACAAAACTAATTAAAAGCAACAACTTTCTCTCCCTCGTGATAAAATCACTGCATTTGACAGTCTTCAATTCATTTTTCGTTAAGAACCTGTACCACTCGTTAATTTAAAGATCTTTGTAACTGGCCGTTTATAGGTTCCTGATTTTGTTTTGACGTCCACAACTCTAATCTTATCATCCTTTCCCCTATAAACATTTACAATTTTCTCAAGTAGCCACAAATTCCTTTGTAATGTGTCGTCAATGACGAGTACCACATCGTCAAATCCGGTCTCGAAGAACGAAATATTGAAATTCAATGTCAGTCAAATTAGTTTTTTTTTATTTTTTTTTGTTTCAGTTACAACTGAACATCAAACTAAATATAATTATGTACAGGGTAAATGAGAGAGTAAACAAATATAATGAAAATAAATACTGAACATTCTCTCCCGCAGTAATTGATTCGAATGAAAGAAATTACTTCAAATCTGATTATTCTCGGGAGACTTCTCTTTCTCAAGTATGCAAAGTGTAGATACAGCTCGCTTGAATGTTGTTCCAGAAGCTGTAACAATATCAACCACTCTGATTTTGCCATCCTTCCCAGGGTGAACATTTGTAATTCTTCCTTACAGCCAAATGTTCCGTGGACTATTGGGGTCATAAAATAGGACAATATCCCCTATTTTGACATTTCTTCCCTGCTGATGCCATTTATCTCGTTTTGCTAGAGATGGTAGATATTCTTTAGCCCACCTTTGCCAAAATAAATCTTTGAGCTTTTGTGGTGCCTTCCATTTGTTCAATAAACACAAATCCCTTTCATCAGTTTCAGCACAAGGTAACGCTGAATAACAAGTTGCAATCAAAAAATGATATGGAGTTAGAGCCTCCATATCATCTGGATCATTGCATGGGTACATGGGTAAGTGGTCTCGAGTTCAAAATATTCTCAACTGCTGCAAATACTGTCCTTAAAACATATTCCTGGGGGTATCTTGTAAGAACTTCCGACACATTTTTCTTGATAGATTTTATCAAACTCTCCCATGATCCACCCATGAAAGGAGCTAATGGCGGATTGAAAAACCACTTCACATTTTTTAGCGTACAAAATTCCTTTATTTTATTCTGGTCAAACGATTCCAAACCTTTTTTGAAGTTCTCTGTTACTTCCTTCAAAATTCTCTCCATTGTCACTAGAAATCTCTTGCGGAAAACCTCGTCTACTACCAAATTGTCATCCGTGCTCAGGTCGTGTGCAATCTCTAAGCGAATTGCTCGTGTCACCATACAAATGAATATCACCCCATATCGCTTCTCCCGACTTCTCTTGACTGAAACTAAAAGAGGTCCAAAATAATCAACGGTTTTTATAAAAGGTCTCACTGTCCGTTCCATTCTACATGTTGGGAGCTGTCCCATAATCGGAGGTTTCGGCAAGGATTTCCTGTTCTTACACTTTTGGCAGTTTGCCCAGCAACTGCGGATAGCTTGTCGCATTCGTAGTATCCAAAACTTTTGTTTCATGCTATTGAATACAGTGTCCTGTCCATGGTGATTGAACTTCTCGTGATAATAAAATATAAGCAGTTTCGTAATGTTGTGTTTCGGGTCTAAAATTATCGGTCTTTTTACATATTCATCTAAAAGTTTGGAATTATCTAATCTTCCACCCAATCTGATCAAGCTTTCTTTATCAAGGAAACAATCCAATGTAATCAGGCTACTCGTATTTTTCACAATGCCATGAATTCTCAAAGATTTCTTTTCTTCATTAAATGTTTCCTCTTGACATCTGCTAAGTAGATTTTTCTCGGCTTGATTTGATTCTGATACTTCTAATTCACCTGAAGTTTTTGCTCTTGTTTTACAATTTTGTATGAATCTATATATCCAAGCGGTTGATCTCAATAATTTTTTCCACTTAGAGAATTTATTTGGATCAGTCGTAACTACGTTTCCTTTATCGTTCATATCTACATGAACCAGTACATTATTTTCATCCATGTTTACTTTTTGTCCATTATTATTTGTACTGAATTTTTCTTCAACAGGCCAAAATTCTGAAGTCATGTACAAAAATTCTGGTCCCTTGATGATTCGACCAAACTCTTCATCTTTGTGCATTCTCCTTTCCGTACAAACGAGTCTTCTTAGGGTATTTTTTTGTACTTTCTGGTAAATGATGATTATTCTTTTTCCAAAGCAGTCCTGTGTCAAACTTGTCACCTATTTTCCGTATTGTAGAATCCTTGATCTCTTGAGCTCTAATGTCTTCTCTGGATAAAGATTGTCTTGAAGTATGAACTGATTCCATTTTCCATTGTTCTTTAACCAGGTCATGAGGAATGTCTAATTCATCTGTTTCTTTTAAATCCACAAAACAAACAAATTTTTCCATATCATCGTTACTATGATGTAAATTTCCATGAACTACCCAGTCTAACAATGTTTTCGTGGGAGCGGGTCCATTCCAAGGCCCCGAAATTATTTTCTTGCTTACCAACAATGGCCAATTGTCTTGACCAATCAAAATTTTAGGACGTACATCGATCATAGATTGTATTTTGTTGTCAATATATGGATATTTCAAAGAAATCTGATCAATATCGACAGTTTGTTTTGGCAATGAAAGATTTTTGATCGTTCGAACATGCCTCAAATAAAAATTCGAAATAGAATTACACGTTTTTGACGATATTTTGAAAGTAACTATTCTTGAGTCATCCTGCTCTTCTGTCTAATTATAATTATTTGTCCATTGGATACATAAAGACTTTTGAGAACCATCAAGATCCAAATCATCAGCGAGATCTTCATCAATTAAAGTTATGGTACTAGCATCGTCCAAAAGAGCATATGTATCAATTTCTTTTTTGCCATTCGAAATATAGACTAGTAAAATTTTGAGTAACACTCGTCTATTCGATGAAATATGACAATTGGTTTCAATATCAGTGACTTGGGAAGTAGAATGTGTTTCTCTATTCTCTTCATTTTTATGTAAAAGCTCATGATGTACTCTCTTGCATCCATGTACTGTACATATCTTTTTTCTTCTACAATTTTTCAAACCATGAAAAGGTGTCAGACAAGAAAAACAAATCCTATTCTTTGTCGCAAATGACCATCTTTCATCAATGGAAAACGACTTGAAAACATGACATGAAAATTGACCGTGAAATTGATCTTTACAGCAAATGCATTTTTTACTAACAAATTTTGTGGCTGAAGTGATATCTTTATTTCTGTAATTTTCTTTATTAGCCTTGGATTCTGAAATTTGTGGAATTTGAAGTTGACAAGCTGCATTAGCTTTAGATCCTAACCATGAACAAAATTCAATAAGTTTTATTTTTTACTGTCTTCTCAGTAATATATTCTACCCATTTCAATTTGTAAGAAGTCGGTAATTCATTCAGAAGTTCCTGTAATAGCAAAGGATTACATAAGTGTTCATTCTCTCCTTCAATGACTGAACAGTATATACAAAATTTTTAACTTCGTCTGAAAATGCTATCAAAATATCTAATTTGTCTTCCTTAATTATTGGAAATTTCCTCAAACGATCGAGTAATAAAGTAATAATATGTTCAGATCGACCAAATCTATTTTTCAATAATTCTATTACCTACTTTATCAACATTTTGCGGAAGTATTAATGCTTGTTATTAAAGTATTAATGCTTAATTAATGCTTGTGTTATTTTTTTGGCAGGACCTTTAAGACCTTTCTGTAACCTGCTTTGATTCTCCTCTTTTGAATAACGACACAAAGCAGTAGAATTTTCAAACTGGTGAATGAAATTGGGCCACTCTGTAGGATCCCCATTAAAAATCGGCAAGTCTTTTGGAACACTGTCTAGTCATTTTTTTTTTATGTCATTATCAATTGATTGACTAGACATTTCACGTGAATTGAAATTTTTTCTAACGTCATTTTGACAGTTGTTTGCATTTTTAGGAGTAGGATATATTTCTGCGTGTGACAATATAGAAAATGGTTCACATACCTGAGAACAGCAAGGCGTGCATTTTTTTGTGTCATTATTACCATTCCAAGTGAACTCGTTTACCCATTTTTGAACATTCGAACCATTGT